CTCTTGCTGGGAGACACTTACCTGTAACACAGCAAGGGCTCAGTGAGTGTAGCCACCTCGACGCAGGCCCTGCTCATGGGCCTCGACCTGCACACAGGTGTGTCTGAGTCCGAAGTGCAGGTGGGGGCACAAACCCATCAAGTCTATCATCAAGAATGTGTACTTTGGTGGGGGACAGCTGGGGGTGGTGGAGTCAGAATGATTACTCGGGGTTGGACCACCCTCCTGGGATGTGCTGTTTATGAAAAAACTGCTAAACAAGAATAACCTTGGAGTCCCAGCCACTCCATCTCATGGAGGATCTACCATGACGGCTGGGCACACCAAGCCCAGAAGTGTCTCTGTGTCTGTGTGTGTGTGTGTGTGTGTGTGTGTGTGTGTGTGTACACGTGTGCACATACAAAACTACCCAGTCACTCACTGCTGACCCAGCTTGGGCTTCAGTTTTTGCTCTAGAAAAACCTGCTGACTATAGAGTGCTGATTTAAAATAATAAACAGCACGGTGGCTCACGCCTGTAATCCTAGCTCTCTGGGAGGCCGAGGCGGGTGGATCGCTCACGGGCAGGAGTTCGAGACCAGCCTGAGCAAGAGCGAGACCCCGTCTCTACTAAAAATAGAAAGAAATTATCTGGACAACTAAAAAAATAGAGAGAGAAAAAATTAGCCGGGCATGGTGGCGCATGCCTGTAGTCCCAGCTACTCGGGAGGCTGAGGCAGGAGGATCGCTTGAGCCAGGAGTTTGAGGTTGCTGTGAGCTAGGCTGATGCCACGGCACTCTAGCCAGGGCAACAGATCCAGACTCTGCCCCCCCCCCAAAAAAAAAAGAATAAAATAAAATAATACACACAGGACTCCAACGTTCACAGCAAAATGTCAGTGAAACAATGTGGGTGAAAGGTGGGGCCGAAATTGTGTACGCATGAGGATGACGAACTGGAAAAGCTGTTTACACAGACGTAAGGATCAGAAGAGGCCACAGAAAACTGCCACTGGGGAAGGGATGGGGGTCGATTTTCCAAAAAGTTGTTTACATGTTCAATAACTGACCATTCTCCGTCACATGCAGTTGGATCTGGTGGCCCCCAAAGTTCCCTTCTATGCATTTCCTCACATCCTACTTCCTCCACTGATGCCCATCTACATATTTTTCATGGAGGGGTGATCAGTTCTCTCCCATCCTGGGACAAAGGGCCAGGAACCGGGTTGAGTTTGCAGTCTCCAAACTGTGTCCTGCACCTCTCCCACCTGGCTGCTTCCTGCCCCGCCCCCACCACAGCTCCCGTTCCAGCTCATGCCCCTGCATCTTTCACACATTTCCAGGCACGTACACACAAGGAACAGTCTGTCGTGGGCCTCTCCCCTCTTTGCATCCAATTCCCAGGGGTGGGGGAGGTGCTTCCTATTGTATTTTAGGGCCTTCTGTCTCTTGGCACTGTTCTTCCATGTTGCTTAGCAAAGACATTTGGGGGCAACCAGAGAAACAGGAAGGAGGCCCAGATGCCTGGGTTCCAGAGAAAGAGAGGCTTCCAGAGAAGGCCTCATCCCACCTTTCCACTCACCCGTGACCCTTCCCCAGTCATCTAGCCCCTACACCTCCTTTCAACCTCACTGAGCCTCAGTTTCCTCATCTGTGAAATGGAGCCAGCAACGCCCAGGATTAAATGGGATGATGTGCATGCAACATTTAACTGCAGCCTGCTTCCCTCCCTATCACTCTCCCTGCCGCAGCTCCCTCCAACCCTAGGAGCAAACATTGGTTCACTAGCTAAATGATTTGCTGTGTAATTTGTAGGTGCGAAAGGAATGCCACATCCACAGCTTCATCGTGTTTTACTTTGTGAGTAAAGATCTTCACAGGCTATTCATTCCATGGCAGGATTTTGCTCCCAAATAGCTTTTCTGCTATGAAATGAGGCTACATAACATTTGGCAGGGTTCCTATCCCCTACTTTGTCATAGACCCATCCCTTTCATGATGCTGTCAGAAGCTGGCAGGTGTACGTTGGGTGTGTGAGGGTCTCCGAAGCAGCTCCCAGCCAAAGAAATACTCCCAGCAGTCTTGGCCGAGATTTTGGGGCCCTGCTCCGTCACCCCCACCATTCAGCTGCTGGTCCTGGTCCTGCTCTGGCCCCTCCTGCCTGCTCAACTCATCCCAGGGGCAGTTTGGGCAGTCAAGAGCAGGACCTGGGCAAACCCTGCCAGCCACAGCTGCTCCAGATCATCCACCCTCCCCCACAGCCTGACTGTCCAATGGCCTGACCCTCCTTACCCCCAGACACTGCAGGCTGCATGGCCCACACTCCTTGACCAGTAATATTCACTCACTAACTAATCAATGACACCCCAGCCCCACCCCAATCCTACACACCCAACCACCGGCTTGTCCTATGGGAGCCCCACCTGTTGGCCTCCTGAGAGGAGCCCAGGACAGGCTGGCTGGCCGGCCTCTGACACCTCAGGCTGCTGAGAGCCCATGTGTACCTTCTGTCCTTCCCCGTGGAGCCCATACGGGTTTGGGGTATGAGGGCTGCAGAGGAAGACTTTTGACACTGGGAATACTTCTTCGGTGCTGTGGGTGACAGCAGCTACAAAACCACAAAACTCACAAGCCCCCAGGAATGCAGGTGTCTGCTTCTAACCGGGAAGCTCAGTTCATCCCCCACCTACCCAAGAGGGAGTCCCTGGCCAGAGTCAACAGATGATGGAGACGAGGAAGATAAACGGAGGCACGTGTGCAGGGAAACGGTGCGAAAGGTGGTGCCAGTGAAGGAGCCTGGAGAAAGTTCTGGGAGCCACCCTGGTGGGAAGGGGCCTGGCCGCCTAGTTCTCACACCCCTCCCTCCAGCCCCACCCCAGGAGGCAATGCAGGCCCAGAGGAGCAGCGGGGCAGGTGAATGACGCTTCACTCCCAGGCTCAGGGGACACGGGTGTCCCAGATGTCCCTCCCCACGGCAACGCAGGCTGCCCTGGGCTTGATTTCCACAGTGTTCAGAGACTGAATACAGGGAAGCTGTGAGTTAAGGGAGACTTCGGTGGGTAGGCCTGGGAACCCAGGCACCTTTTCAAAAGTCACATTAGTCCCAAACAAGTGACTCAGAAGTTTCTGGAACACAGCCCACTGTAAGCTGGGGCCTCTTGCCTTCTATCTCAGGCTCCCAACCGGACCCTGAGAGGTCCCTTGCCCTCCCCTTCTATTCCATGTCAAGGTCGGGATCCCCTGGGATGCTAATGTTTTTATTCCTGATTTACTTATTTTTCTATTTTTTTTCTGTTTCCTAAGTTTTAGGAGTTTTGTTTCTTAGCACTGCCCAAAGGAGACCAGCAATCGTGGGCTCGGAAATGATCGCCAAGTAGTGACATGGTGAGATGCCCAGGCCCTGGCCCATCCCGTGGCCTTGTCTGGATCATGGCCCTGCAGCCATTGTCCCTGGGAGCTCCAAGAGTCTCAAAATAAGTTCCTGCTTACCTGGGCAGATGAGGCCCAGAGCGACATGGGCAGAAGGTCATCCCAAAGTCCCTCAGAGCTAAACTTTAAAAACAACCGAGGACCAGTTAATACAGGGCCTGAATGGAAATGACTGGTGTTTCCACCTAGTCAGAGAACAGAGACCCAGAGCCCCCTCCAAACTGTGCTTCCTACCGAGATTTGACAGTCACTGTCCCCAGGAGGTGGGGTGGGAGGCAGAGTTCCTGCTCTCAGGCAGCTCTCGGTCTAACAGGACAAACACCCCGCGGAACACACACACGCTGCTCCATCATGCAGGAGCCCTGGGCTGGGGTCAGCACACCTGTTTCTGCCACGGATGAGCTGGGTGGCCACGAGCTAGTTACTGCCCCTCTCTGTGTCTCCTTCCTGCCTGTGCTAACATCCTCTGACCACTTCTAGAACAAATCAGAAGGCTGGGGCATGAGTGGATAAAGTAGCAAAGGAGTGAACTATTACGTCTGTTCACCTGACACCGCGCACAGTGGCCAGCCGCCAGGGCCCCGTCACTGACCCCCAGGACTGCTGGAGGCTCAGGTCAGCACGAATTCCAGGCTCGCCCTGCCTCTCCTGGCACCCACGTCACTGCTTCAGCATTGACTCCATCCCAGCCCCACCCTCCACAGAACAGGGCTGGAGCAGGAGCAGGGCCCTCTACCCACCAGAGAAACCCAGGGACGGGAAGTGGGGAAGCCTTTCTCAACCATCCGTCAGCACGAGGATGGCAGGCTGGGCGCCAAAGCCAGATGCAAACGTCTCCACCTCGTTCCCTGGTGACTGGTTTGCTGGCTCTCCAGGGACATGGGCTGCCTCAGGTCCGGGTCTCCATACTCAGCGGGAACGCAATACTATTAGTTAAGCTGGTGCCAAAATCCCACTCCTTCCAGTAGAACGTGTCCTCCATGACTGTCCCATTTGTGCCCCCACACCACACCTTTAGTGGGGAGACCACCACTCCCCACGTCACCTAACTGCTCGGGCACCCTGAGCCGGGCAGCAGAAGCAGGACAGACGACAATCGCAGCTTCCCTCTCCTCACGCGCTCCCCTCACTTTCCCCATGATCCCGACAACCGTCACGTCACGCAGGCGGGGCAAACCTTATCCCCATTGACAGCGGAGCACTGAGTCCACACTGGTCAAGGTCAGGCCAGAGATCGGAATCCAAGGGGCCCTCTTCCCCACAAGAGGCCCTCCTGGTCCCTGATGGGATGGGCAGGACAGTGCTGCCTCAAGCCCAGCCCTGGGGGCCGTCCTGTCGCCCACTCAGGCTGGGCTCAGGTGAAGAGTGGCCCTGAGGCCCCATGTCCTGACAGCCCCTGTTCCCTAGGGCCAAGCACAGGCAAACCCCGGGCTATGGTGTGGAGATGCACAGGAGCTGACAGCCCCAGAGGCCCCGACAAGTCCTGACTCAAGGGCAAAGAAGACAATCCTCCCCCACTGCAAACAGGCCCCACCTGGGCTGAGAGCTGATGGACGGGGAAGCCACAGGGTGGGGAGGAAGGCAGGACTCACCTCCCTGATCAACTGCATCCCCTTCAGCTGGTCCTGCTGCTGCTGGGCCACGGTGACCCCCAAGACGAGCGTGTGCACGGTACAGGAGACCACAGAGATCGCCACGATGTGGCTGAGGCTGAGGGGCAGCGTGATGAAGAAGGAGAAGACAAAGAAGGCCTGCCAGCCCACCGTGTCGCTGGCCGCGTGGGCAACAGTGAAGTTCAGGCCCAGGTAGGAGAAGATCTGGGCTGTCAGCAGCAGCCACAGCAGGTAGGGCACCACCTTCCGGGTGAGCCGGTCGGGGAGCAGCCCCTTCTTGCAGAGCAGGAAGAGGATGATGTCCAACACCAGCCCAATCCCGGCCACGGCGAGGGGAGCCAGCTTGTCGCTGGAGAAGACCACGGTGCACATGACCACCACATAGCAGTCAAAGAGGGCTGCGAAGACCACCAGCACCAGCAGGGTCTCGTGGCGCTGCCTTCTGAAGTAGGTCTGGTAGAGGTTCTCCAAGGACTCCGGCACGAAGGTCAGCCGCATGAAGCGAGGCAGGCACAGGCAGGATCCCGAGTTCCGGACAGAGATTTCGTGGGTCCGGCCCACCCCGCGGTCAGGGTCAGAGGGCAGGCTGACGGAGTACTCGGCTGAGTACTCGGCCGAGTACTCGGGCTCGGAGAAGCCCTGGTTCCGCGGCATCCTGGCTGGTGTCTGCTTCTACTGGCCTGGAGAAGCGGAGTGGGAACGGAGGAAGGTCTCCGGAATGGGCCGTCTACCAGGGCTCTCTGAGACCCAGGGAGGGCCGAGGGCCTCTTCTTAGCTGGCACTGAGGGGCGGCCACCTCCGGCAGGAACGCAGAGTGGGTTTCCAGAGAACAGGTAGCACTGATAACCTAGAACTTAAAAGGACATTGCTAAGTAGAAGCACCTCTTCCTTCCCACCCTGTGGTTTCCGCGTGACCCACCCTACTTCTCCTAAGAGACTCCCTGCTGGAAAAGCCTCCAAACCAGAGCCGTCCCCGCCACCGTCTCGCTCACACCACTACCCACCGCACACACACTTAGTCCCGTCTGCGCCGGACACTTAATTTCCTGTCCCTGGGCTGTCGAGGGGCCTAGCCACCTCTCCATCCCTGGCTCCCGGTCTCCGTGTCATCTCTCCTTTCTGACTTCTTCATCCCTGACTTCCTCACCTAAATTCCCTCCAGGCCCAATCCTTAGAAGCTGGAAATAAAACATGCCAGAAAGAAACCAGGGCCATCCTGGGGATTCCTGAATCTTCCTTCTGTTTACTTCCTTTTTCCACAAGCCCCTGGAGACTCCGGCTCCGCTCGGGCCCCGTCCCAACCCCCGGACGCTGTCTTCCCTCCGGAAGCCCGGCCCTGCCCCTGCGTTTACCTGTGCGGGAACTCGGGAGCCGCGTGCTCGGGCCGGCCCCCGCGTATGGCGAGCCGGCGCGGGAGGGCTCAGCGCGCCCTGGGGCTGTTCCCGGCGGAGCCGCGCCGCGCCGCCAGCGCCTGGGCCCCCGGCTCCCGCCCGGAGCGCGACTCCCCCGCCGTCAGGCCCGGGATCCGGCCGCGAGAGGCGCAGAGCTGCCCCTCAGCATCCACCGGCGCCCGGCCGCAGGAGGAAGGAGGCGGCGGCGACGGGGGCTGGAAAATTCGGGGGCGTCGGCCAAGCGCACCCGCCCCTGGGGCTGCGGCGAGCGCGGCGCGGCCGGACCCCTCCCTCCGGCGCCCGCAGTGGTCGCGGCGGCGGCTAGGGGCGCGCTCGGGGCCCTGGCCGGCGGGAGCGCGGGCCGCGGCCGGGGAAGCCCGCCAGCATCCTCTCGCAGCCCGCGCACGGCGCGGAGCCAGCCAAGTCCGGGCGCGGCGCGCTGCACAGTGAGTCCTGCGCGGCGCCGGCGGCTCCGGGGCCACGCGCGCTCCAGGCCCCGGGAGGCGGGCGGGGGCCCCTCCCTCGCCGCAGTCGCCGCCCTCTCGGCGAGCGCGTCCCGGAGTGGCGCGGCGGGGGAGGCGCCCGGCTCCGGACCCGGGCCGGCGTCGGCGAGGGTAGCAGGGCCCCCGGTGGCCCCACGTTCCAGCACCGGGCGGCGGCCGGGGCGCGACGGCTGCGTGGGAGCGCCGGGTGGGAGGCAGGAAGGATGGGGTGAATCCACGCCTTTACCCGGGCAGGCCCCGGCTCGAAGGATAAAAGCTCAGAGCGTACCCTCCCGCAGGTGAGGCGCGCTCTGGGGCACCCGGCTGCCACCTCCTCTGCCAGGCTTCCTTCCGGCCCGGAGAGGCTGCGGCTGAGGTTTGGGGACTGCTCTGACGCCGGGCCTAAGTGTCCCCACTCACCCTGGAAGTCCAACGCCTGGGCGCCAGGCCTGAGCTTTCTGCAGAGGGGGTCCACAGCTGAGCCCTGTTCTTACAGGAAGAGGGTAGGAGTGGCCCGGTGGGCACCAAGCACAGGTGGACCTCGCAGGAACCCTGCCTGCTTTAAAGAGATTTCCCGTGCACGTTCCACCTATTTGAGATGTATTTGAATTCACACACTCTCCCTTAAAAACGCAAATGCTTCTTTGAATGGTTACGCCTATCAGTCTCTTACACCGTAGTATAAATTATTCTCCTTGAATTTGAAAGAACACCTTGCTAAGATCAACTACAGGCTTTAGGAATTTAGATAAAGAAAGAGGAGGGAGATAGGTTGTTTTGAAGCAAAAGTATGTGTTGAGGAGTCGGGGTGCTAAGGACAGCCAACAGTATGAGGGGTCACCTTCCCCGGGAGAGCTGAAGAACCAGACAGAAGGGAGAGAAACAACGCCTTCCAGGCCCTGGAGGGAGCTGCCACCTCACGTCCCTGAGAGTCATCCGTGGGTGCCCTTTCTAGAACCTCAGGCATCCACTCACATCTCTCAGGGAGTAGATCCATCAGAGAATTGATCCTGTCACAGCCGTTTCTATCAGTCCTCACACTAAGTCTGAAAAGCTGCGAGCCTCAGCCCAAATTCCTCAGAGCTTTGATTCCAGAGGCAGGGGACTAACATCAGATACAGGAGGAGGATAATTTGAATAAAGCAGCACTCTTTTAAATTTTAAAACATTAAGATAGTGTTTTAATTTGAGGTCTAAAAATTTGTTTTGAATTGTCACATGATGTTAAAGAAGGGCATGATTTTGATGTTTAACAAAGGGACATGTGTTAATAAAAGAAAAAAGGCTGATAAATAGCGTGCTTTGGCCTACTTCGGCACAAGGAACACCAGTTGCACCCTCTGTGTGTCCCCCGCTTTCCTGGCACATGCTAGTCCCATGGTTGTCAGTGGGGCACGCTGCTCTGCAAGGCTCTGTTCCTGGGCCCTGAGGGTTCCCTGCTGAGCCTTCTGCCACCACTCATGCCCAGCCTCCTCTCCACCCACCCTGTGAAGGGAGAGGGCTCCACACAGAGACACCCTGGTAAAAACCCCCATCTCCTGCCTCTCTTGCCCTCGCCTGCCAGCCTCACTGCCCCCCGCCCTTCCACAATCCTCCTCTCCCTGCCGTGGGCACCTGTTCAGCCGTTGTGTGCTGAAAGCCAGGCCAGCCATCAGGGAAAACCAGAGGAGCCATCCAGCCCGTGCCCTCAGGATGCTGCCAGCTCTGCCAGGCGCCATGTCCACCAAGGAGGCAGACCTTCAGGTATACGCAGGTTCCAGTCAGAGGCAACTTCTGGCTGAGGTGCCCCAAGACAGGGCCTTTCAGGACCAGAGGGAAGGATCTGATTGGGCCTGAAAAGGGCACCTTCCAGGTGGCTGGAGCCTCCTGCAAAGGCCCAGCAGCAAGAAAGCCCATAGCATGTTCCCACCCCTGCTCCACACTCTGAGTTACGGGTGTGGCCCTTCCCTGTGATGTTGAAAACACAGCAGGACAGTGGCAGCCCCTTGCTGGGCCTCCCTGGGAGCCAGGAGCATGTGCTCGAAGTTCTGCCCACAAAGGAGATCAGGGGAAATGCCACAAGGGCCTCCTCTGTCTCCTTCACAGGAGCTTCCCCAGTACCTGGCACCTTGTAGACACTCAGAACATGGTCACTGAATGAACAGATGATCTCCCTAAGAAGAAATGGTACTTCATGAGGGCACTGGCTGACCCTGAGGGGACCAACTGGCCTTGTTCCCTGATGCTGAAAATGTCCTGGTCCAAAGGGAATTAAAAATAGCCACCCTCAAGTGAAAAGGGTGGTATCATGGGGGAGGTGCTTTCCGTTTCCAAGCTATACGTTTTGCATTGTTGTAACGTGGACAACCAGCATGCTTTGCTTTTGTAAGCCAGTGATAACGGTGAATTTATCTTTAACACACACACATACACACCTGCATGCACACACACAACCCAGGACCCTGCATGGCTGCATGGGTGACTTGCCTCTGACGCATGTCCTAAAAGGAAGACAGAATCACGGGCTTGGAGAGAAGCTTGGAGGGTGTCCTGACCCCCCACCCTATCCCAGGATCTGCCTGGATGGGATACCTCCTTGCTGAAGGCAGCTTTTTTGTTTGTATGGTTCAAGACTAGAGACGATTGCTGAGAATTAATTGTTATTGGATAAACAAGCGTGGTTTGGCCCTCCAGGGAATGTGGTGGCTCCTGAATCCAGCAAACAATAGATCAGAGCAGAGCTCTGGTGTCCTGGGGGGAAGAGAAGCAGGAGGAGAGAGAGCATTAGTTCCCCTGGTGCCGGGCACCAGGAGAACCCTGTTTGAGGTCTGAAAGCAGTGCCTGCGACGAGGGCCTGCGTGCAGGTGGTTTAATTGAGGAAGCGATTCCAGGGGAACAGAGCAGGGAAAGCTGGTAAATGCGAGCGTTTGTGACGGAGCTGCTCACTGCTGTGGTCAAGGGGGCTCGACCCCATGGGCACCCTCCGAGGAGCCACGCAGAGGCTCAGAACTCTCCACTGGAGGGCTAAGAAGAGGGGCATATTTATCCACCTGCTGCCCCCGCAGCAGTGACGGGAGCAGGAAGGTGGCAAGAGGATGTGGCACATGACGCACAAGTGTCCCTTAGAGGGCCCAGATCCTCAGCAACTCCACCGGCTCAGAGGTTCGGGTCCCGCGGTGCAGTAGGAAGAGCTGGCTCTCAGGAATCGGAGGGCCTAGCCTTGTGCATTGGCCTTGATGCTAGTCGAGGTCTTTGGACGAATTACTCAGCCTCCCAAGCCTCAGTGTCCTTGTGGTGCTAATGACATAGCACAAACCCCTCGACAGGATCATTGTCAGGAAGAAGGGGATTAATGGGAACCAAAACGGTTGGCAGATCTCCACGGAACAAGTCAAATGGGAGTCACTGTCCAGCTCATGGCTGCTGGCTGAGCAGCGGTAGCCACTTCTGTTCCAGCGCGACCTCCATGGGCCGGGCCGGCTGCTCTCCCCACAGCCCTCTCCGTGGCTACAGCGGGGACCCTCTCTGATTCTGTCTCAGTTTCCTCTAACGCCATCAGCCTGCTGTCTGTGTTATCACTTCTTTGTCTCTCTCCATCTCTGTCTCTTGGTACTTCTGCCCCAGTGTTGGAGTCTCCTTGACTCTGCCTCTGGGTCCCTCGTTGGGCCACTGTGGATATGTGAGTGTATGCGTCCCTCCTGGTCGGGAACCAGCCTCACCTCTTCCCCACGCGCTCTGGGCCTGCTGGCTGCCCATTTCCAGGCCCCTGGGGTGAGCAGAGGAAGCACAGCGAAGACATCCA